TCGTCGTCGTCGTTGTCGTCGTCGTCGTCGTTGTCGTCGTCGTCGTCGTTGTCGTTGTCGCTGTCGTCGTTGTCGTCGTTGTCGTCGTCGTCGTCATTCGATTTTTCATGTTTGACTTTAGAAGCAAGATACAAGCATTAGACAATTCCAGCTATCGGCTAATTTTTTATCTAGACAAGAAAGACGAAATATATCATTAAAGCTCAAACGAGCATCCTAAAATTAGTAAAATTGCATAGTTTGGTTTAGAAATGTTGTAAAATATGGAAAATAGAGCCCTGTAAAATATAGCAATTTTACTAATTTTAGGATGATCTTTTGAGCTATGATGATATATTTCGTCTTTCTTGTCCAGATAAAAAATTATTCGATAGCGCTGGAATTGTCTATTCTTGACTATATATTCGTAGCAAATAATACAAGGTGTCCCAAAAAAAAAAAGAAATAACGTATTGTTAGAATTTGAATGCTTCAGCACTCTGCTGGACCACGCGTGCGTCAAAGCTTGACATAAGTAAATTGTATGCATAAAGAACCGTTTGGGAAGCTGCTTTAAATTCCCAAGAGCAGAAAATCGTGCGCTTTACAAAGATATTTTAATTTCTTAATAAGTCAATATTTAATTTATGCACCCTTGCCAATATTTTACGCATCTTTGCGTTCAGCTTAGTGCTAGGGCATTCAAATTTTAACAATACGTTATTTCAATGGTTTTGCGGGGGGTTTTCACTGTAAATTAAAAAGGGCCAAATCGACCCCAAATTCCGTTTCAGCCCTTTTGGGGCCAAAGCTGTTTTGGCCCTATGTGAAAGCCATTTTGGCATTGGAGAGCCTGGATCTGCACCGACGGAGCCATTTTAGGTATGGAGGAAAGCCAAATTGGCCCTACCCTTTGCCGTAACGGACCCATCATTTTCCAATTTAGCCCCATCAATTGCCAATATGGCCCCACAGACCAAAACGACTCTCACGTCCGGGTTTGTTTTGGCCCCACATAAAGGGGCCGCTTTTGATCAACACTTTGGCCCCTATGAGCTCCGTTTCGGCTCTCCATTGCGGAACGACTCTCGCATAGGTCAAATCGACCCTGGAATGAAATCGACCCTTTTGTCGAAACGACCCTTCTGTCAAATCGACTCTTAATTGTGTCAAATCGACCCTTCTATCAAATCGACTCTTAAATGTGTCAAATCGACCCTTCTGTCAAATCGACTCTTAATTGTGTCAAATTGACCCTTTTGTCAAATCGACTCTTAAATGTGTCAAATCAACCCTTCTGTCAAATCGACTCGTAAATGTGTCAATTCGACTCTTCTGTCAAATCGACTCTTAATTGTGTCAAATCGACTATTAATATTGTGTGAAATCGACCCTTCCGTCAAATCGACAGTCTTAATTCTGTCAAATCGACCCTTCTGTCAAATCGACTCTTAATTGTGTCGATCGTCCGTCGTATATCGCAAATTAACTTCCGCATAAAACTTAAAGAATGCACATGCTCGCAGTCGCAAAGAAAAAGAAGAGGACGTTTTTTGGATTATACAAGGTGAGATTTGATGTATTGAAATTTGTTTTCCAGATTTTTAGTAATTTTATCGTAAATATAAATACGGTATTTGTAAAAGTTAATCACGAGAATTGAAGGCCTAGGTGTAATATTAATGATCGCGGGAACTGGGAACGAAAATGCACGCGCCCGTAATCTAGAGAATCTAAAATGGGACGCCCATGTGAAACATCTTGACTCGACGTGCTATGGCACCCTAGCAAATCTCAGAAAAATTAAGAGCTTTACATCTGGCTGAAAGCTTAATTATCTCTCGTTTAGACTTTAGTGACATAGTATTCTATCCACTAACCGAACATCTACTCAATAGACTACAGCGAATACAGTACTCAGCTGCTAGTTTTGTGACTGGACGTTACGTAAATAGTATTGAATCGATTTTAAAATTGGGTTGGTTACCCATGCGAGAACGAAGGGACTGGCATATTCTTAAAGCCGCACATAAGGCAATCTCGTTCCCCGAGCATGCCCGTTCGCAGGTTAAGGGTGGGCATAGCTCTGGAGAAATCGAATTGATTCAGGCCTGTGATTGGCTAACGGCAGATAGTGCGTTGGATTTCCAACGTGAGTTCTACGCATGCTTGGCAATTGTTGCAAAATATAAACAAAGTATTTGGAATTGCTCGTCGAAAATTTGCTACTTTTTTACACTGAAATCGATTGAAAACAACTAGAAATTCTGGAGGGAATATGTGCGAAAGCTTCGGATTGATAGGGATACAACTACCTGAAAAATACAAGGAGAACTTCGACGTTTCGAGCGAAGGCGCTTAGACTTGTACTGTTAGTGTTTGTATACATCGTACTTGACCTTTTATACTGTCGTACTTAACCCTACGTATGCCATAAATTCTGACAGGAGAGTTAAAT